GACATGGACATGGACGGAATCCTGGCTTCGTGCTCTCAGCTCCCGCACTTTACATTAACAATTTTTTTGTTCGCCGGTCGCTCTCTTGCCGGCTCATGACAAATTGGACGTGCTCTCCCAAGTGTCCAAAGTGGCGAAGTTATTACTGTACTCCAGGGCACAAAGTCCCCGCTTCCATTTCCTCTCTCCACCCAACTTGGGGCATTTGTTTAGCGATATTACCACCACCCAACCACCGTTACTCCGCGGCTGATATGCATTGAGTGCATTAGTTGCATATGTACATTAAAAAAAATAAATTTTATTTAAGATATAATATATGTTTTTTTATTTTATTTCACATTCTATTTATTAATTAAAAGGTTTAGCCGAAAAAATTCCTAATAATGTATAACTAATTCAATAACTCTTATTTGATTTTAAAAGATGAACATTTTTTTGTGTGCATACTGAAGTGTTCAGCACTTGCAGTATCCGTGTATGTTGGGGGTGCTTTGTATTTTGTGGCGACACTAAAAGCTATTTGTAAATTTCGCGACTGCAATTATGTTTGCTGTGTTGCTTCCCCGCCTCTTGTCCACTTTGTCTGCTGCTGCTGCACTTAACACATATCTCTATCTGTCCCGTTCTCCCAGGTCCTGCTATCTCCACATCCTGTACCCTGGCACTCTTATTTTTTTTTTGACCATGTGGCTTTTCTGGCTATTATTAGTTTGCTGTGGTTTTTTGGATGTGGCTGCTTTGCCTTCCTCCGACGTCTTCCTAACCGCATCGTATGTGTATGCCTGTAAACATGTAAATATTTACCCCATCGGCTCCAACACTTGGTTTTGCATAAAAGTATGCAGATGAAACATTAAAGTTACACTCAAATTTTGAGTGCTTGAATTTTTGGCACACTTTTCGTGACCAACGTATCCTTGCTCTTTTGTATTATTGGCACGTTTTCTTCTGGCATAGTGTTTCATGATTTCCACACAACTATTTTCGCATTTCAGCAATATGATTGCTTATATGTGGTCCGTTTTAAACACAAACAACGTACCACACATTATTTTCACTATTTCGCATTTAAATCTAAATTTTGTTTCTTTTCTGTTTGTATTTTTCAATTAATTTAAATTTTTCTGTTCAAATGTCGGAAATGGGAAAAACATAACGTGTATTGCCTATCGGCTATTGCATATAATTTTTATCGAAAAGCACTAAAGGCTATGTGACCAACTGCACATATCCGTCCGGTTGCCATTTAAGCTCATGCATCCGTTCCAAACAATTCAGGTGAAACAGACATCGGAATTTAAGAAATAACCGCCTCTTTTCACTGTCTGTTGGGGCAGATGGTGGCAAAAGTTTACCTAAAATATGCCAACAAATTATGTTCACACTTCAGCGAAGGCCGTACTTCGACGACTTCCCATATCGGCAGACATCCACCAGCCCCTCTTTCACCTCCAGCTGTCGTCCTTTTAGTGGGTCCACAAATCATTCAGTGGCATGAATTATTGCTGGGGAGCTTAGAACGTGCTCGCAGCGTTAAAGTGTCATTACTGGGCTTAATGAGTCGGCGAACTGCACAAAAAAAGCGGGCAAACCAGACAGAAACAGATATGGCGAAGCAAAAAGATGCCCACAGTCACACAGAGGAGCTGAAGATAACTGGATAGTAAAAAATGTGTAGCATGCAAACAGGCGCAAGCTACATTGTTCATTGTCTGGCTCTAATTTATGTTGCTGTTGGTCAGCCGACGCCAATAAATAATAGTTTCTTTCATGCTTGGGCAACAGGGTATCATAAGGTGTTTGGGTGCTAGACGCTAATTATTTTAAGATTTTTCTTTGACAACAAAATCTTAAGCGAACAATTGAGGCAGAATTGTTGGAACTATCTATTGCAATACAATACAAATTTATTCTATATCACTTCTTACTTCAATGGGAGTAAATTTTCGATTAAAATGGGGAAAAGTCAAATTTTTTTTAGAATAATAGCTTAGGATGTAATTCTAAGTTAATTTTTTTAAGATACTTAACTTCAGGATAGGCATTATTCATTATTTTTTATACTTTGCTACAAATTAATATGCACTATCCGTGTCCTTGGTAATTGAACTGTTGATGTCTTAAGCGAAGCTACCATAACTATGTTTTCATGCTAACACACCTATTAACACTAATAAGTCTCGAACCTCTATGGCTAAGTGCATTTCTAAGCATCTTGAGTATCTAAAGCTGCGGCACCACCTACTTCACCACATAAATCGTGGCACCCAAAATGCATAAAGCAAGCATGTCGCGCAATCATTTTCAGCTGCCACGTGCCCCGGCATACATTTCGTGCATTTTATGGGGCAGCAGGAGTACGGTCCTGTTGGCCTCCTGCAGCTTGCGGGCTACTTTTGCCAAAGAGGAACAAACAAATGGCCACAGCCACCAAACAGAGCAGATGGGGAGTAGAGTGGCCCGAAAAATTTTAAAGCTGATTACTCAATAACTTTACATCGGAGTGCATAAAATGCGAAGCATATCCTTCGAGTGCATAACTCCTGGAGCACTTTCTTCACCAAGGAGCAAGGGCGCAGCTTTCAGCTGCCTTGCAAGTCGTTTTATGTGCACTTAAATTGTGTTTGTTATTAAAGCCGGTGTGGCCCCTCCTCCAAGTCATCCTTCCCCCGATTCTGCTGCTGTTGTTTCCACGGAGGCCAAATGAAATTTATGCTCAAATTGAGTTGCGTCCGTGTGCGTCGAAGTATTTTGCAGGTAAAACGCAACCGCTCTTGGCTTGGAAACCTTTTTCACGTAATTTGTGACACTTAAGTGAATAATTTATGCTTGCAACTTAATTGAGTTGCAGATGCATCTTTGCTGGCCCCAGTCTTGCGCTTCTTGGTCAGAGACACAAATATAAACAAATATAACTAACCAATTGGAAGAGTTATCTTACCTTCATTTTCTAGAAAACTTAGTAAAATTGTGCAGAAGAAATTTTAAAGGAATGCACATTTGTACAAATGTTAAAGCTTTTTTCAGAATCCAATCAATCAAAAGGAAATAAACCAAATTGATAAATATTTACAAATATACACTTTATCTTGTTTATTTTTGTTTCTATAAAACTTTCATATTAATTAAAAAATTCTTCAATCAATTGGACTTTTTAGTTTTGTTCTTGACATCAGTTATTCAATTTGAAAATTAGGGATACATTTTTTCATGACTCGTCAAAGTCGCTCCAACCAGCCGCCAATAGCAGATTTAATACAAAAAGAAAAACACATGAATTCAAATGGAATACATTTCGAAATAGTTTGGAGAATAAAATTCCACTCACACAGGCCAGGTCCTATTTTATTATTCAAATTTGCTGTAAATTCAATTAGGCTAGAGTTAAAAACAACTGTTGAGGCCAAAAAAATGATGGGGAATACATGAACATAGCTGGAATTCAATTACAACCGCTAATGCCACTTGTATTGCCTTCAGTCCGGACCACAGACTGTTCAGCTCTAAATACCTGTAATCCGGCAAATTTAATTTGATAAAAGTTGAACTTCAATAAGTACCAAAGTTGCCATGGACGTCGGCCATTATAATTGTGGTTATCATTTGTGTGCGTGCGCCTGTGTGTGCTGACCACTTTTTGTTAAGCGGCCACCGCAGTTCAGACCACAAACAAATATGATCAGACATCCGACGAGTGACTGCGATAAGCAACAAGCCAAAAAAAGAAGACCAACACGGCAAGTGCCAACACGGCGGATGAATATGGCTTATGCAAGCAAGCACGCCCACACACCCATATAATCACACATGCGAGCTTTCAGCTAAAAAATGCAGTAATTTAAACTGCATACTTTTCTGCGGTTGCGAAAAAACTACCAAACATCTGAAGAGTGAGCAAAAAATACTAAACTTTCAATAAATTCACAAATGTTAAGTCCCGAAGAGAATTTATTAAATTAAGTGTCTGATAACTGTAAATTTAATTAAAATGTGTGGTCTAGTGAAGCATATTCTGAGTTGAAAGGGAGCCGAAAGCAAGCCTTTATTTTCAAGTGGTGCTATTTTAGGTGCTTTCGAATATATTCATTAAACACAAATTGAAAAAATATTTAATCAAACGCCAGCAACGAGAATTAAAACGGGAGAATTCGCAAAACGAGAAATCGCATTCTCAAACAACTTTGTGCAGCGGAAAAAATTCTAATTTATTGAGTTAACGCCCATTTTTACGCCCTCTGCACATGAACGGGATTCAGGCCCCTGAAAGGACCCCTCCAGCCCACGACGGTCACGACCCGCCCCATGCCACAACCATGACCATAACACAGTCTAATTCCGAACAAAAAAAATTTTCTATATAGGAAAAATTTAACGAAAAATTGCCCAACTCGCTGCGACTTACCCCGCCTGTCGACGAAATGAAATTTTCACGTTGCTGATGAGGATGACCGGCGAGTGAACACGCATCCCGAACACGTTGCACGAACTTCTATTGGATTTACCACACAAACATTTTAGCCGTGTTCCGGCAAAGCCGGTCGTATAAAAAAAAAAAAGAATTAAAAACTTGCAAAAATTTTAATGGAATTTTTTTTTTTGCATTCTTCCTACACGCTCACGCTCCAACTCCTCCGATTTTGGCTCGGGCCCCGGTGTCATCCTGGCTGTCGTTGCTGGTGGTGGCATTGCGGATTGTCAAGCGCCGGCTTACACACATAAATGTCACATCAGCATATAGAAAAGCGGGCTGGTGGGTGCCGTTGATGGTTGGCGCGGTGTTAGCTGCATAGGTTCCGGAAAAAAGACAAATACTAAAGAAAAAACCCATCAGGTTTAGTGAAAAGCTGTCCTTGCAAACATTCAACTGAAGCTTTAAGCGGATCCGTCGTGATGTTTTTAATACTGGTATTTAAAACTTTTTAGAGACAGTTTTTACCAATCCCTTCAGTTGTAAATAATTCTTAAATTTAGTACTACTTTGTTCGAAAAAGGCGATCATTTTATTAAAATTTTAGTTTGGGTGGAATTAATGTGCCTTTTTTAAATAAATACATTTCCATTTTTATATCCGAAATAAACTTACATTGCGACTTAATACGAAATGTGTTTAAAATATACAAATAGCATACGAAACTAAAGATAACCACAACATATTTACAGCTTATTTACACAATTAAAAATAATCCCAATCCTTTTAAGCCAACTAAAGCTGGAAAACGACCCTTTTGATGCACAGCATCTACAGTTTGTTTTGGGCGTAGAAACTGTTCCATACAGACTCGATTTTCTGCAGCTCCGGAAGAGTTTTAAATTCAAACTGCTCGCCAATATTTAGGCATTTAATGTCCGATTCATTTTCGATCGGGGCGAATTTTTGTGACTTTAAGGTTTCACAGTTGGGATCGCCATTAGTGGCGAAACTTGTCCACACGTCGATCATGCCTGTTATTACTTTGTACTCCGGTGAGTCGGGAGCTGATTGGTGGGACAGCATACTGTGGAATATGTAGCACAGATCGTCTCCATGACAAACTCCGCGCATTTGATGTCCGCACAGCACTATCCTGATAGCATTACAAAGCTTGGAATCGTGGTCAAAGCGGTATAAGTATGTGGGGGCACTCGACTGGCGGAATCGAGCCAATGCAGCGCGGTAGATCGGATGCCAGAATTCCCGGTAGGAGCATAGCTCGAGGAACTTCATCATATTGGCCTGGTTGCATGGTTCGTCGCCAAAGTAGGCTTTCTTTAATTGCAGGCCGTAGTTTTCTCGCAGTTTTGGATCCAAATTAGGGCTCAAATCTTTAGGAAGCACATTTTTGCAGTTTCCCACTTCATCCAAAGTAGCAGGCCGACGAGAAACCTCTGTAAGAATACAAATTGAGTTAAAGATTAAGTTTCTAGAACACATTTAAATAGCTTACCAGGATAAAAAAGCAATCCCTCGAAACTGGTGCCACCAAACATAATGGGCACTCGGTTGCTCCAACTATTGTGCATCATCTCATAGGGCGACTTGTCAATTACAGTGTGCTCCGTTTTATAGGGTTCCACAACTGGTCCAAAGGCAAAGAGGACTCGGTGGTGCTTCTCGTCCTTGCTCAGCACTGTGGCAGATGCTTTGACAATCTCGCCTCCGCTAATCGACTTTAGAAAATCAAAAATCTGTTTGTCCTTATTGTCGCCACTGTATCCCAGTTTTTGGGCCAGACGGTAAGCCCAATCATTTCGAGGTGGATGCGTCCATGGGCACAATACGCTTCCGGACATCACTATTGCCTTGTGAACCAAGCCCTCGGTCTGGGAACTGAGTGTTAAAAAATGAGTTGACGCTCCGCCGGCACTTTCCCCAAATAGTGTAACGTTGTTGGGATCCCCGCCGAAGGCCTCGATGTTCTGCTGGACCCAACGAAGACCCATGATTTGATCTTTGAGTCCTGCGTTACCGGGCACATTCAGCTGCGGATCATCCAAGCTCAGGAATCCTAGAGCACCCAGTCGATAAGCCACTGTTACTATAATCACATCCTTGGACATGAAAAAATCGGGACTATACATATCCCGCGAGGCTTCTCCCACCTGAAAGCCACCGCCATAGATCCAAACCATCACTGGCCGTAGTTTGTTTGGTTGCAACTAAAATAAAAGAATTTCTTTATATTTAAAATAAAAAGGGATTATAATAAATACTCACATCCTTTGTATAAACATTGAGATACAAGCAATCCTCAGATCCCGCAAACTTCCGGAAGAACATGTGGGTCTGTAGGGGCTTTTCCGCAGCCGAAGTGCAATCCAGTTCCCGATCCCATGACTCCACTGGTACCGGGGCCTTGAATCGCAGCTCCCCCACAGGGGGCTTGGCAAAGGGAATTTTCTCAAAGCTCAAATAACTTCCCCCCCATATCGTGTTGCGCTTGACTCCGCGCACTGGACCCAGCTTAGTCTTTACCACCGAATAGATGGCTGTGGCCAATTTTCGTTGCTCATATTTAAAGCTTAGAACCCTGAAAGAGAAAATACAACATTCAGTAATCTTTTTTAGGGGACTTTTCTCTTTAAAAATAACTCCGGGTAACAATATTCCTCTTATTCAAATGTAAAATCGAAATCAGGTTAATGCTCTGAGTTTGATTACCCGCTTAACAACCGCCAAATAAGCATTTAGTGGTTGAAAACTTCTTGGTAAAGAGATAATACCCTCCTCCCTCACCCAATAAAAAGTTAACTCCCCATCAAAATATTTATATAATAACGACTTTGAATCTAATCCAGTTGGAAGCAGTCACGCATTGGGGACATGACGGCAGACAACAGTGAGCGCCAATTGCGAATTGCCGGCGAAGCGCTTTCAATGTCGTTGGGGTGCTTTCTGGTGTTGAAAGTCTTGCGATTGTCAGTGGCTTTTGACCAACCTCAACGCTTCAAACTTAGCATGCACGACCAGTTTTCTATTTTCTATAACTCTCCATTGTTTATGTCTGAGACTTTTTGTCACCAGATTTTTATGGCTAATTTGTGGGTGGGCGTGAGGCGGTTTAATTCATTTTATGGCTTATTTTTATTTACCTACACTGCGCACCTTCAATTTGTATCTATTTAACTGGCATTCTGCAAATGCACTGACATAGTTTGAATCGACATTATTTCACACGAATGCATACAAATCGGTAATTACGATTGAAATCGAGAGAAAGGCGAGATCAGGCTGTGCAGATTGCCCGCTACGTGACTGCTTTGAGGCTGTGAAAGCCAACTCTTCTCCGGGAAATTTCAAAAACAATTCACAGCAACGAATTGTTATGAAAATATTACTTGCCAGTGCATTTACGCCTCGCATTCATAATATTTAAATAGTCGGTAGTATAAGTAGCGAAGCATAACCAAAGTAGGCAATAAATTAAGTGCGGCGCTAATTTGGCCGTTTACCCTAGTATTAGCCCCTGTTTTATTTGCGAAATAAAATATTAATCACCAAACTTTTGCTTTCAATGTCTGGACTTCAAACACTTTAATCTTATCGTACACGGAATAATCGAAACGATAAGGGAAATGCGAAATTGTTCGATGTCATTTCAAATGCATTTATTTATAAGTTATACAAGTTAATGGCCCAGCAACTAATACTTGTTATAGACAAGGCTTTGTAATAAAACCAGATTTTATTGATGGAGACAAGTTTTGATAAATAATTTATTACTGGTTTATCAAAAGGGCATAGACTTGCAAATGGGATCGATTTAAAGTGCCTAGTCATGCCCAGAAGGCAGAAATTTAATCTGAAAATAGGTGAAATGAACTCTGTACCCTAAATACTTATCTGTATAATTCCCTATTTCAACAATTAAGTTGTTAGAGAATTATCGTACAACCAACATGTTCATTATTCACTGAATAATCATACAGAAAGAAAAAAGGATTTATGATAATTATAAAAACCATTTATACGCTTAAGATAAATATAATCACTTATATACTTAATGTCTTTAGGTTCCTATCATTTTAATATCTTCTAAAGATAACTTTTTCTTTTTTATGCCGCAAAGCTTTAATTAAAACTGACCTAACCCACATATCTGATTTCCTCAATTTATTTCCAGCAAACATAAACAAATAAAGATGAATAAATATAGATACATGCAATTAACACCATTGCGTGTACTCTGCAATAATTTATGTTAAAAATACCAACCGCCCGCAAAACTGCTAATAAACCTGCGAAAACGTGCAAAAAATAACAAATATATCAAAACAGCAACTCAAATGGATTCAAAGAAAAAAAAATGCAAATGCCGCTGAATCATGGGCGAAAAAATAAAAATAAATGATAAAACAAAAGCTAAAGAAAACAAGTGGCAGAAGCAGCATCATTAAGTTTATGCAAAACAACATACAACAGAAAAAAAAGCACAGAAACAAAAACCTACATCGAAACCAACATTATAGTTTGCGCAACCATTTCACCAACACAAGCCTCAGATATGTTTATTTGTTACACAACTATAAAATTACTAATACATTAAGCGTAGGGATGACTAATTTTATAGACTAAAGGTTTGAAACTCAGCTCAATACAACATAAAAAACTCTTATTTTTAAAATAATACCATTTGATTTATATTTTCAGCGTTTTTTTTAAGTGCATAAAAATGCATTTGTATGCATGTGAGGCAGAAGGTATTGCAACACCAAGACGCGAGACCTCAAAACACAGAAAACCGTTTATCACTTTACGTTGGTGCGAAAGAGAGAGCCATGTGGAAAATGGGAAAACTTACTTAAAGGTCAGCTTCAGCACATCGAAGAAGCGCGTAGCCATTTCCTCGCTATTATTTAAGCAAATCCACAAAACAAATAGTTTATTTCCAGCAACACGCTTCAATAACGAGCGCCTATTCCAGAGAAAGTGTCACAGTAAACTCCAAGCCCAGTTAGCGCGACGGACCGGCTGGTAACCTAGGGCTATAGTCGCGGATCCGAAACAATCGTTGTGCTCTTCGCGAGCACGCGGCACCAAGTGATCCAAAACTGGAGATCGGAGTACAACGTTGATTGTATGCCTCTTTGAATATCGGTTCTAAAGCTCTCATTTTCGCTCACCTGGAACAGCTGTTTTTTGATTACCTCTCCGCTCACTAATAAATACCGGTTGTGTTGTGTGCTTTCATATTTTGGTTTACTGTTACGTTTGGAATTCTTAGAACTGGCAATGCTGTATCGAGCTTTTTATAAAAGTTTTTTGTAGCTTTACAAAGAGCGGGTTGATTAAAAGCTTTTAGCTTTTTGCATAAGATCGTTTTTAAGCTTTTAATATTTGAAATTCAAACATGTCTAAGGTGTAGGTGGATCACCTTGAAAATAAACTTCAACTTGAGCTAATTAACATTAGTAACTGTTACTTAAGCTTTTTCAAGCCCACCTAATGAGTAGCCTCAGGTATAAACAAAAAATAAATAAGAGAACAAGAGGTTCGAATATTACGTATGTATGTATACGTATACGTAATGTCGAAATTACAATCTGCGGTTACACAAAAGAATAAAAGATTTTTTTTTGCTTGAACATTAATTTTTACCCCAACTTTTTCGTATTTTAGGATTGCAAAAGTAAAGTAAATAATTTAATATAAGTACCGACAAAGCCAAAATTATTACATGCACAACCCTGCGTATACGTAATATGAATAAATTGTACCTTTATCAAAACGTTACTTTTCTGCTAAAATCATTATTTTCAAGCCCATCTGACATTGAACTTGACTTTGACTTATGTCAAACAAAAAGTCATTATAATTAGATAATTTATTTAATTTTTTGTTGTCAGTTAATAATCCAAGTCATCTGGAGTGGAGTGGTATGGTTCGCTTTGTGTTATAACAGTGTCTGCCTCGGCTGATGGAACGTCATCACAAAAACCTAAGTGTAGAGTTACAGCAATCAAATGAAAACTAAAAAAAACTTTTTTAATTTAAGTTAATTGTTCGATGAAAAATATTGCTACCTAATGAGAAGCAACATTTGTAAAGCAGTATCCATTTCGACTAGTGCAGCTGCCTGTTAAAAATACGACTGATAAGCCTAAGATCAAAAATAGGCAGAGTAAGTACGGTAATCGAAATGGATTACTCAATCTATTAGCACTCATCAGCTGATTCACAGCTACTAGCAAAATGAATTCTACAGAAAAAAATTTAACGTTTGCCGCGATTACAAAGCCGTGACATTCACTTGCAATATGGATTCAATTATTAGAGCCAATCACCGTAACTAACATAAAATAATTAAAGGTTTCAATTAGCACAGAATTAGTCACGCTATATTTATTCAAGCGATTGGTTTATCTTCCGATAGTCCGAAAAATTATACGCATCACCACATATGCGATAATTTGTTCCTTTTATACGGTTGATAACTCACATAAGCCAGACAAAAAATTGGTGACGCAAATTTATGATCTCGATATCATGTTTTATGGACGTGATAACAAAAATGCAGCCACATGCTAGATTTGTGGACTTCATTACGGTTCTATGACGTTCCTTTATAATACTTACTGCTGAATAAAATCCCAGTATGTGTAGACCCGAGGAACAGCCTTCTCCTGATAGAGACTGAAATGCCTCACTTTTGCGAACGCAGCCAAATACTTTCTCATATTAATTGATGAAAACTATTTCAAAGCATTTTGTTATTCTTTATTTTCTTTGTCTTTAAATACAAACGATTTATTTGTATTTTGGTTTTAATAAAATATGGATTCATACTTTCTTAAATTTCTTAGTTTCATTGCATCACATGAAGCTTTCGACAAAAATTTATAACACTCGAATACACAGAGAAGTTGTAAATGGAAATAGATTCCTCTAGTCGAATCTATATCGTTACGCGCGCATTCGAAAAACATATTAGTCTGATCTATCAGATTTTATTTTAGTTTATCTCTTCTTATCCTAAAAGTTATGTAAAACTTGGACAGGTTTTCTGTTTGTTCAAAAACAACATTTTACCAAAAACAACTTATTCTTAAAAAAGGCTATATATGTAGACTTAGACTATAAATATATAAATAATTTGGTAAGGGTTCGCTTGTTAAATTTATTCAAACAAGTCAAATAGAAAATTATCTTGTTGTTAGTTTGTGCGTTCTTTATGGAAGAAAAGACGAATGGAAACCCTAAATTAATCTTTATGAAGGACTTAAACGATCTCAAATTGATTTTTATAATATATGTTTGATTTACATATGCATTGGCATTTAATAGTATCAGCGAGACTTAAAGGAACGTTAAATTTATGTTCTTTGCTCAGATTCCTTGGCTGTCTTATTTAGTTTTGTTTAATTTGTTTTGGTAGTTTCTCGTAGAAGGTACTTTAGTTGCGACTTGTTTCACACTCATAACTACATTTAAACAGACTGCTTAGGCTACAGATCCGATCTGGTAAGATATAGATATAGATACAAGCGGATGAACTTTAACACACCTAATAGAGTTCTCGACGTTAGAAAACTTAACAACAATAAATTTCTCTTCGATTTTAGGCCTAAAGCTACGCTTTCAAAAAAGGCTCAACATAAAGCTGTCAAAAACTACATTTCCAGGGTGAATCCAAAAGATGGTTGCCATTTTACAAATATTCAATGGGGAACACATAATTTACAATCGATAGGGATAGTCCCATTTAATATAAAGCATCCAAATTGTCTTTAATATGTATGTCCCTTCTCATTTGGCTACCGAAAACAATCCACCCAGGTTCAGATAAAGCTACAGGTCCTATCTAGATGGAGATACTCCAAATCCTACACCATATCCCTAGAGTAGCTCATCGCGACGGAAGAAGCTCTCCCAGATCATCAGCTTCCGCAGGTCTGGCACGTCGATCACCTTTAGCTCGTCGGATATGTTAAGGCACTTAAGCTGGTGCTTTTCAATGGCCGCCGCGTCCACCGGTTGCCACAGGTCCGCCTGTTCCGGGTCAAAATTGGGATTTCCACAGGTGGCAAAGTGCGTCCACAGGCCCACTAGCCGCTCAATGCACTTGTACTCCCGCGTATGGTTCTTCAGCTTCCGCGCCAGGGAATTGTAGAACAAGTAGGAGAGATCGTCGCCATGGCACGTGCCACGCACCTTCTTGCCACAGCTGAGGATGCGCAGATGATTGAAGTGCTTCGAGTCGAAGTCGAAGCGATACAGGTACGTCGGGGCACTTGTGGCATACTGCAAGCGGGACAATACTGTGCGGTAGATCGGGAACCAAAAGTACTCGTGAGAGACCATCTGCAACACAAAATATTAACAGGTTTAGTGATTTATTTTATTAAAATATATATATTCAATTGTTGTTTTATATTGCCACATGATAAGCCAATTTTGCACTACTGAAAAATTTATTTGCTTAGACTGTAACCCAATTTCCGGTATCTGAGATTCCGTTAAGTTTTTTATAAATATATAACTCTCACCTGTAGGTACTCGTGCAGAGTGTCTAGACTGGGGGTTTTGTCGCCGTAGTAGCACTGTCTCAGCTGTTCCCCGTACTCCCGGCAAAGGGCACTGTCTCTGTCCATATTCAACTCAATGGGAACCACGAATCTGCAGTCGTCCAGTTCGTTCAGACACTTGGGATTCGCCTTGGTCTCTGAGTACAGCAGTAAGCCCTCGTTGGAAACTCCGCCGAGGATCAGCGGGATATTATTGCTCCAGGCAGTGCGCATCATTTCGATGGGTTTCTTGGGCACTACACAGTGACTGGTCACGTAGGGCTCGATGACTGGTCCAAAGGAAAAGCCTATTCGCTCTTTTTTCTCCTCATCGATACACAATTCGCCGTTGGCCTTTATGATGTCCGACCCCTTGGCGTTGTTCAGAAATTCCCAAACATCGGAGATATTATTTTCGCCAGTGTAGCCCGCCTGGACTGCCAGACGATATGGCCAATTCCTCTGAGGAGTCACCGCCCAGGGAGAAAGCGTGTTGCCCGACATACAGATCGCCTTATGGAAGAGTCCACGTGTTTGCTCAGTAATCATCATGTAGTGCACCGAAGCACTGCCAGCACTATCCCCAAAAATGGTAATGTTCCCAGAATCTCCTCCAAAGCGAGAGCAGTTGGCCTTGACCCAGCGCAGGGCCAACACCTGATCCTTGAGTCCCGCATTTCCGGGCACATCGAACTCCGGATCATCGATGCACAGGAATCCTAATTAAATTTGATATTAATATTTTTATTTTTTTTAAATATATATTGTTAATATGTAACTCACCCAAAGGGCCTAATCTATAGTTTATTGAAATAACCACTACGTCCTCGCGCAGCAAGTAGTCCGGACTGTAGCATTCCCGAGACGCCTCGCCAAACTGAAATCCGCCTCCGTAAATCCAGACCATCACAGGCATGGGCTTGGTGGGATATAACTAAAGGGAAAAATAAACAATTGTTAAACTCGTGATACAAATTCTTGCAATGTCAAAGTCAAGTTGAATGGATTGAATGAATGGTTGTATGGATTTATTTCTCACTCACATTCTTTGTGTAAACATTGAGGTAGAGGCAGTCCTCAGATCCATCGGTCATCTCGAACACAAAATGCTTCTGCAGCGGCTTGGGGCCCTGGGAGGTACAGCTTTTGACCTCCGTCCAAACCTCCGGGGGCTGGGGGGCCTTGTAGCGTAGCTCCCCGACAGGAGGCTTGGCAAAGGGGATCCGCTCAAAACTGAAGTACGACTGACCGTAGATGGACTTCCGCTTGACGCCCTTGATAGGGCCGTAGGTGGTGCTGACGACAGTCTTTTCACTGGTCCTATAGCGACGTTGTTGGACCTTAAAGTCAACCATTCTGAGGGCAAAAGGATTGATAATGAGCTTAAGAGATTTGCGAACATATTTTTCAATTTCCCCCCATTAGATATAAGCCTAATCAGAGCCAAATAAGGCGCCATTAATCAGATACAATAAACGACGTCAGCTCCACTGATATTGATGGGAGCGTCTTTTCCGTTGCCGTTCCGCTGATAAGGTTAATTTTTTATCAGTTTTTGGCCGGCGGGCCAGGCCAGGTGTGCGCTATTTATCAGGAACCGCGATTCATCGCGATTCGCATTAAATCAGAGTGGTATATATTTTATATAACTTGTTGTTGCTAGACATTTAAATAAAACTCCAAGATATGAAAACCGCTAAGCAAACGTACTTCGGAAAATTTTTATGTTTTGTAAGTCATTCAACTTAACTGCTGAAATTCAAGGGCAAAGGTCGATGAAATCAAAGTGTAAGCCTTTGGCAAGGTAAAGTGAAGTGAACCCGCTAGTATGTTACATTTTTGTTATACAAAAAGTGAGTGCCTATTTAAACGAGGGTAATTAACCTATTTAGCCAGGCGCTGTTTTCGTTTTCTATAAATAAACGCCCCAAGGTCCAAGACCTTGATAAGTTGCCCGAAATATTCTCAATTTTAGAGCAAAATAATGATTTCATAGGTGTGCAAATGTGAATATTTTTTTCCCTTTAGACCAGCACCTGTTTTGGTAGCAATGGTGCGGCTTTTGTTTATCGACTGCCATAATTGCCAAGTCATGTACACAAAGTAATATCGTTCCTGTCGTTATTTTCGTTTTTCGGAATAGTTTTATATGCTTTTGTTAGCTCACTTGTGGAATGAAACGTGTTTCAACTTTTAATTAATTCCTTTTTAACTCCCCATTTGTCATAAGCAGCAGAGATACAAATTAAACCTGGCTATATCTTGGAAATCTTCCCCATTCTTTGTTTAATTTTTGTCTCTGCCGTTGTTTGCAAATGTCATCTACAGCTGAAGCAGCCACAAGGGCAGTGAAAATATATCAAAATTTATTTTTATTAATAGCCGGAACGAGCTCTTGCCGGTTTTCGGCTGTGATGGGAGCCAAAGCCCCAACGCATGATGTGAATAATACATCCGGAGCAATTTGGCTTTGGCTATCGCAGACACTGTCCTTGAACTTTGCCAAGGAAATTTTTATGTGCAAGGAGCGTTTAAGCTAATGGTCGGCACCTATAAAAAAACCAAAAAGTCAATATAAATAATGTTTATGACGGGTCTGCTTTACTCATAAAAGACTGGGTCCTAATGCCAGGCTTGCGTGAGGGCCGGTCATTTCTCAATCAGAGGTCCTAGGACTTAGAACACTCCTAATTTGGGCGTACAGGCCGTCAGATGTTATTAAAAACGTCGAAAGCTTGTGTAGAAAATACTCTATAAGGAACATTATTTATATAACCGTTCCCTATTATCTTTTACGCTCAGTGAAGTCAAATTCCTCTCCTAATTGTTAATATATGGTTCTGCCAAAAGATTTTGTGTGTCCCAAGTGATTAATGTTTTTTTATTTTTGGCTGTGGCGTCCCTGTATTTTAAGCAAATAAACACAACATTCTACAAAGACTCAGCAGAAAAATATTCAGCTGCTTATTAGCAACAAGTGACGACAGCTATGCCCAAAAAGTTCACTCGGAAATGGCCAAGACTTAAAGAAAATAAACTTCATCGTGTTTTATGTTCGAAGCAGTCATTAAATGTTTAAATTGTATTATTGGGAATCACGGCAATGTAGGCCTTATATATCGAATGTCGCTATTTCTTTCCAAATTAAAAATAATGACATATTATTTTAAATTCTTTGAAGCAAGAAACCTTATAGTCCAAAATGTTATCAGTCGAAATTGTAAAAATATTTTTTAAATGAAATTGAATTTGGTGATTTTTTATTATAAAAGTATGTTTGATAGGCTATTAGATTAAGTTAAATTTAATTATTTATATAAAATCATAGATTCCCGCGTTATCAGTGTTTATACTTTCCAGGTTTTGAATGCACTCGGAGATAGAGATAAGTTCTTATAAGACTTATGTCATGAGTGATTCAATTAGTTTTCTATATATTTTCCAGAGTTCTCTGCCGCCTGTGCGTTATCAGCTAGACAGAATACAAATCCGGCACGCGATAGATGGAAATGTGGCCCCACCTAATCTAAGCAAACATGACCGCCTGTCTGACCGACTGACTGACAGCCGGAGACGCAGGTCCATGTCATGGTCAAGTTAGTTTTTCGAACACTGCAGCACACGCGAAAATTATGATTGCTGGGTACATAAAAATACAGACATTAAATGAGTAAGAATTTAATTTCCGTCTCTGAATGGCCATAAAAACTTTTTTTTATTACATGGCTATCTTGAGGCTCCTAGCTGACCTTGACAAGGCTGCAAAAGCTTGGCGCGTGGACTGCACAATGGAAGCTTTCATTGCCATGAATGAAACACTCCGTAAGGAGGCCAAAAGCTTACAAATGTTGCAAGGATATTAGCGGGAAAGGGATGCGTCTGGCTTTAGCAGGTCAAGGAGTCAGTAGAAGGATTTTCGACTACATTGGCCTACAAACTTTAAATCTTTAATTCGCTTATTAAATTAGATTTTATTATTTTGACTTCATTGCGGCAATGGGCTATAGTATATTATATGACCATTTCGCCGTTGATTTTTCTCAACTTAATTTGATGAAAAATGCGCTAAAATTTGAACTCATTCATTGAACGGACCGTATACTATATGTATTATAATACATATGAATATCAGAATGTTTGCTCTTGTTGCGGCAATGCTTTCATTCTTTATCCATTTAAAAAAATTGTTTTCGCCCCACAAAAGCTTTTGGGAAAAAAATAATAGAGAAAATGCGGCAAAATTAAATGAAATTGACAAGAAGACAGTTGTGTTGGTGGACGTGGGCGGTAGAGCACGAACGGCTAGCGACAAAATTTCACAAGCCCCACATGAATGTTTATGCCGCGGGCATACACGACGTATGCGCAATGTCAGATATAAAGCATTTTAAGTAAAAGAATGTGTTTAAAACAAAACCAATCATAAGAAACGAATATAGTTAAGCAAAAATAAATTTATAGGAAAACTAAAGGATATTTTGCAGAGATTTAGCTGTATTTTATATTATATTTTGTTCAATTTCGAATCGAGACTTGAAAATGTTTTAAATTTTCACCAGTTTTTCCAAGTATGCTCTCACTTTTGACACTACTTCTTCCGCCTCTGATCTCCTGCCAAAATAATGGCAATTCGAATAAAGATGTTGAGGGCATCCATGTAAATGGCCAGGGCATGGTTGATCGGATCGAATAGGTATTGGCTGTGCTGCGGATGGTGCTCGGCCGCCTTCACAATCCGCTGAGTGTCATACAGGAGGAATCCGCTGAATAGGATCAATCCGCCATAAATAGACATGCTGGCCAGCCCCGCCCCCACGGCTGTGGTGGGCGGCAGCCACATGGAAGCCAAAGATGAGGCAAAGACCACACCCAACCCGATGGCCAGGGGTCCGCCCATGTGGAGGAATTTCTCGCTGGGCGCACAAGCGGCCACAGTGGACAAGGCTCCCACCACTCCGCCGGTGTAGAGGAAGGCTCTGGTCAGTATAGGACCTCCTAGAAGGCACATAGGCGCCAGAACAGCGCCCAGGATGGCACAGTGAGCAGCCCAGGCTATTTGCTTGGCTCCCAAGCCTGGGTGATACTCCATGCTCTGGGCCACGGCGCCACTAACCATCACCAGGCCAAGGGTCACCAGAGACGCAATCAACCCAGAACGCGTCATCAAGGCCATCATAGACTCCGATTGGAATATGGCAGCCGCGGAAGCTGCTGTTACGGCACAGGATGCCCCAAAGTAGGCGTAAGTGGCATGAATGCGGTCCCTCACATACTGCGGCCACATCACGGAATGATCGTAGATACTGGGCTGATTACTTAGGCCCAAACCGTAATAGCAAAGGCCAACAAGACCCATCAGGGCAGCCCCAGCCACGGCACCCTTACCCATTCCGTAGGCATTCTCAGTCGGCGGCCCCATCAGCCGATCCTTTAGAGAAGGGCCCTTGGAGCGGCTCTCCAAATGGGACCGCTCTCGGTCCTCGGAATCCCGAGAGTACTTCCTTCGGGTCAAGTTCTGAAAATCCTTCTTGGGTATTAAGGACTTTCCTGGTTTCATTGTTGGCATAATCCAAGGATTCCTCTTGAGGGGCGTCTGTGTAGACTTAAAAAGCCGGACTCCTCCTGTCTGCCCCAGGAGACGTACCGATCGTCCTGGCAGGGTGAGGGCTAAACGGGACAACAGCCTCTTGACGGGACTGTGTTGATTAACTAAATCTTTTTTTTGTCTTTTAGATTCTACCCGAAAAACATTTATTACTTTTAGAAAACCAATTAGAAGTAATGCAGTGAGGGGCTTATTTTGGTGAATGAGATTTCTAATAAATTTGAATCAAAAAGTAGAGAAAATTTTGAGACATGAGCGATAAACAAGAAACAGATTGTAGATTGAAAAAGAAAAGGTGACTATGTTCGTTTTGTGACGGTATGACAGCAGGAAATGAGATATCTGCTCTTAACCAGATTTGTAGACCTCGTATTTCCCACAAACAAATATTTGCACGTGCCCCCTTAATACCGTGAATTCCCAGCAGAGATTGTCGCTGTTGAAGGTTAATTGGCTTGCACCGATGAATTTGTTATGTCAATTGATCAAACCATTGATTTAAATTGATTTTAGTCCATAAATAACCATTGGGTCATTTCCAAATTTTAATTTCAAATATTCCAATGACATGGCTGAAAGCAGGCAATTTATTGAATGAAAATTGAAGATACATTGTAAATAAATTGTCAATTTATATACAGAAACTGATTGAACGTGGGCTTTGTAAATTTATTTATTTCGAACCATTTTGCTGACATAAATCACAAAAAATACGATTTAAATATGCAAATGAATGCAGAATAAAAATGGTTTAAAATTATTCGTGATATGGCGTCATTATATTGAACAACCATCAGACGTATCAATGATACTATTATTTCAATAAAAATGAGTGAAACACAAAAGTTTTCTATGGAAGCTTATCGCTTTGGGGCCAACGCACAGTAGCTACATTTATGGTAGGAAAATAACACTTTGAAATGATATTTCTTTTGCTGCCATCTATTCTTCTTTGTATCGCACTTAAATGAAATCATCGGAGCCCGAAATGAAACCAGTTAGCCACCAAAACCAAGCTGATCTCATACAACATTCTACCCCGGTCTTTGAAAAACGTCAAACACTTTTTTGCAGGCATAAAAAAAGAATGAGTCAACGGCCGCTGGGCTTACAATGGAATAATTTACATACATCCCGCAAACATCTGGGGGATGCGGCTGTGGGGGTATTATAGTTTGCTACCTAATTATTTGCGCAGTTTTAGTGTCGGCAAAAAAATAATACATGCCCATAAATAGATAGTCTCATAATGACGGCAGTGGGCTGGCTCGTTTTTATGTATCTGTGTTTACGTATTATTAAAAGGGCCTAGAATTTCTCGGAATCGTTGGCAGGGAAACAAAGGAACTCCTTTTGACAGGAGCTCTCACCACAACCCACCACAGCCCACCTGGCCCCCATTTATTGTTGTTGACTTATACATAATTAAATGTGTATTCGTGTCTCCCGCTGAGCACACGAGGTCCCTGGGGCAGGACATTGTAAACAGCTGCTAAGCAAAATATTGAAGCAATTTCGTTGCGCCCAGCTGCGTCAAATTCGTTACACAAAAATTTAAAAGAGAAAATTGTATATGCTTTTCGTAAAATTTGTCCCAGGGGGATTTGGAGTATTTTTTTTAGGAAAGATCCTATCGCATTTAATTTCCTCATCAATCAAAAGCAAACATAACAACATATATCAAGAAATAAATCATTATGAAAATATCGCCTGTTACAAGGCAATGCCAATTATCCAAGGCCTTAGTGTAGCCCGTTGTTTGCATAGGTGTGCAGTTGAATTATCTAGTGTGCTATAGTTTGGATGACACAATGCGCTGATGTCATGGGCCTGGTGTAATTGGAATGATTTTCATTAAACTCTTGGCTCGACAAATTAGACGTCTTTGAAAGGATTTAATTGTCGTGCCAAATTTGCTTGCTTTTGCAAGCTGAATAGTCAATCAAAGTAAGGCAGTATTTCCACATTTACGAGTACCCTCTCAACACCCATAAAATAATAAATAGAAACTTACTTGAGTCCAATTTTGAACTGATCGAAAGCAGCCATGGAAGACATCTTGTTGGTTGTTCTACGTTGTCTTGTTGGGCTCGAATTCAATCAACAAAAGTACAGCGGCTCGCTGAGAGAGAGAGCCTTGTTTTTTTAAATTTTTTCTTATGTTCAAATATATACAATATTTTGGAGGGTAGCGGCGTTTGGATAAATATTCAAAAAATTCCTTTTATAAAAAATTGTTTTGGTTTTTATGCTTAGACGAGTTGAGGAACTGCCAGCTGTTCGATGGCCTTGCAAGGACTGCGTATATCAACAAAATAGGATGCGAAGCGAAGCTTTTATGTCCTGCGCACAAACACACTAACACACGCATGAAAATTCGCGCTCCAAAAACAAAACGCACAAGCCAGGTACTTTCACACGTTTATCACATAACTTTTACTTCGGTAGCGAAATTTATAATAGTTCGAATCACTATAAATCAGGAATCAGTGTTGGTTTCACTTTAATGTATATATTTTTTGTGGGGGCTGGCTAAACTATATGGGAGCTGTTACCGTTACGCGTCCGCTTAGCGTGATGGCAGCTCGTCAACTGCTCGCGAAAGCACAAAAAGTTCTAAGTTGTAGGCCAAAAGCTTTCAAACCCATGCGAAACATAAAAAGCGTGCGGTGCGTGTATCTGTGGGATTGTTGTTTCTGTTTGAATGTATTTCCCGGTGGGAGATACTTGGAACTGTTATCTATAATTCAGTGGCACAGCAATTATGTGTATTAGGGTATTTTCTATTCAACTGACTCACAGACAATTACATGGCACAAAACTCGACTTTGTCCTGTCTGTCACTATCCATAAAAAACAGAGGCAACAGATAAGAAAAATGTATTGGTTGGGTAACAAGTTGTGATTTGGCTGATTCGACAATATTTTTTTGGTTGGCTCACTTTTTGTTTGATGGGGGGTGTCATGCGACGATAATCTCTATGGCCCACTCATGGTTTGATAAGAGAAGCGTGGAATCGATTTCGGGAGTGATTCATACTTTGCTAAAGGGGTTTTCTATGAAGCTGTAAAAGGAAAAGTACTTGACGTTGTATAGCTTATCAGAAACGTTTTGCGTAAGAAAAAGTATTAATAATGGCCTATTTTATAGAAATAGTTGATAGCACAATGCTTTTTGGGAACTATTGCGTATATTTCCAAAAATTATTTTATTTTTGATTTTATTTGAGAAGCTGTTATCGGGTTTTTTTTTCTTATTAAATACATTTGCTTAGTAAAAAACTTTTTTATTATTAATTCCGGCGGCTACGATATGATTAATATATTAGCATTGTTATGAAAAATATAATAATATAATTTTAAATTAGTCAACATATTTGATTGACTCACCGTAAACCTGGAAATCCCTTAAATTATTGTGTATTTCATAAAGTCAATATTATTGTAGATAAAGCATGACACAGTCCTATTGTTTTTCTTGTTTCTAGGCCCCAGAACACCAAGAGGTTAAGTAAACAAAGCCAAGAATACATAAAGGAGTGCAGGATAAACACAGGACACAGCTGATTACAGTAACTGACTCCTGTTGCTGTCGAAAGCTTATGGGGGTCACAAAATAAAAATATGCCCAAACCAAAAGCTTTCCACTATTAAGCTTTAGCAACCAAACTAAGTTTGATTAATATCGCCACATTATTCTATCACTTGGGTCAGCGTCTGCCCCAAGTAATTGCTTCTAGTTATGGTCAGTTCTAGTCCTAAATCTAAAGATGCACGCAACGGCCTCCGATTAAACCTAATCAAATTATGTTTATAGAAAAATAACCCCAACACAGAGAAAAGTATTCGGCAAATATATAAATTAAACGAAACTATGTAACCCCAGTCGTTGTTTTTTATGAAAATGAATAAAATAAAAGGGATATTTTAATAAAACATAATATGGAAATATTTTATTTTATTATTTTTTTGAATATTTATTTCATTATTTCCTTTATTTATTAATTAATATATATTTCTTTTATAATATTTTGCCCTGTGCATGTTTTGAATGAGCAGGCAAAAGATTTGTTTATATTTATGATATGCTAAATAAATAACCTTGGATGGGGGGTAATATAAACTCTCGTGACTTTTGGCGCTTATGTTGCCATGCGCTCTTTTATTAGAGAGCTTTTACAATCTGATATTTTTTCGCATATATGTAGCATTACTGCTCTGCGAATCAAAAAACGCTCTCGATTTTCTCATCTCTGTGGACGATCTCGTGCTCTGGGAGTGCTGGCACGTTTTTCCGAACACACGTATATGTGAATATGTGCGAATGGTTCTCTAATTCATTTAAATCAATTTAACTAAAGTTGTCGTTTTTTTGTGCTATTCCTGGCATTGTCAGGTCGGCACATTGTTAGATTTTAAATGATTTTGATTAAGCCCAACTGATTTCAATCAGCAGTGCCAGAAAAAGTATTAATAATGGCAAAATGTGCCATTCTGAATTTCTGTTTTTGGGGACTTACCCCGACCATATGTTGTCCATATTTCAACTGTTTACTCTGGGCGATTTTTGGGATAAGAGCTTCGAAGAAGTCTGAAAATCGGGCCAGTGACTAAGTGGTTTTCCCAAAAGCCAAAATTATATTGAATTAAAAATTCATACACGGCAAACTCGCAACTTAAGCTTCCGTGTTTTCCCGCCACAAAGTTGGTTTGGTTGGGAAAATGTAAATGGAATATCAAATGTCCAAGAAGTGAATGGAAACAACGTGCCGGCTCAACGGTTCAAGTCGCACATGATAATGTGAGGATTTCGCGCCGCGCAACAATTGCCTCATGAATTTTTCAAAGGCAAATCAAATCAAAGCGTACTCTCCCTGCCACGCCCCAACCACCGTGCCCGCCCCTCATCAGTGTCCTCCTCGGGACCGGCGAAAAGTCATAATTTTCCGGCTGCTCGCGTGACTTTCCATGCCATTTCGTGACTTGATTACAGCGCACGGTTAACATGCGTCCTTGTTGTTAGCGCTTCAGCTTACCATGTTGAAGTTGTTATTGTTTCTAGGACAGGATAATTGGGGGAGCGGCGTTGGCTCTTTTTTTTTGTGCCATCAAAGGTCTGATCCCACTCCTGGCTCCTGCACGTGACACAAAACTATTGTCTGTGATTTTAAAATTCGAACAAAAACTTCTGACACACTCTGTTCGTTTTAGATCCGGGAGGAGTGGCTGCGGAAAAAGGATAGTTTCTTTTAAGGAATGTCCTGAAAAGGAAATTGATATGGGTGCCTTGAGAGTTGGTCGTTTGAAAGCGAAATAATAGTGAAAGTAACAGGATATACTTGCCTTTAATAAGGATTAGCCTTGACTTCAGCGAAGACTGCGGTTTTCTTATATTAATACGAAAATTTAATTATTGTAGAAACTAATAAAATTAGTAAAACCACAAATTTAACTAAAAATCTCTTGACTTAAATCTTTTAGAGAATAATTAAACAACCTTGTGGGGGCATTCTCCCGTAAGTCTTTGCATATTTTGCGGCTTTCCAAAAGACTTGAAATTATAATTCGGTCATGCCTGAAATGCGGCCCAAAAATTAAAAACAAGAAAAGCCAGAGGTCCACGAAATTTGCTAAGCACCTGTAAATAATAATTACGATATTACAACATAAACCGAATGTCGAAAAAGAGCCGTTAGCGGGCAAAGGTCAGCGGAAGTCAACGCTGCGGAGCTTTGCTAAATTTGAAGCACGTGTAAGTTTTTAATTACAATTAATGGCTGGCCCATATGGTGCGGGAGTGGGGAGCTGCAGAGGTTAACGGTTTGACTGAGAGGGTATTTGTCTGAATTGTGTTTTTAGCGGCCTTTGAAGTTACCATAGACACAAACACATAAACACAACATCCTCTCCACAACGGGCTGTAGAGAGGGGGGCAAGAACACAAACACAAATGTGTGCGTAGGGACATGTGTGTATCTTTGGTCTGGGGGCAGGTGTGCGGGGGATTTTGGTTTTGTCACCTGACAGCAATCACCTGAATGCGCGTGTGTGTGGAGCGCTGTCTGGTTTTTTGTGCAGGTGTTAATATTGTCATGTTTGAGTATTTAAGTATTTTTAATATCATAACACGTTGCATACTTTATGGGGTAGCTTTGGCATGGATTTAACCCAAACGCACACAAGCGTAATTCCACAAACACACTTGAATTCATAAGCAGATAAATTTATGGTTTGTTTTCTCACACCCAACAAATGGTTGTCTAATTTAGAAATATTTTAGCAACAATAATAACAGCATTAAACAGTGTAAACAGTCATCATAGTATATGGTTAAAAACCTTTTAAGCTTTTAGGGCCAACTGAATAGTTTTTAATTTAAACAAGATATTTACCCAATTGTGTCCGTAAACATATTCATTTTTTATTTAGTGACTAACTTTTAGTCCTATGGCTAGGCTATAAAAAATCGCTATTTACATGTGTACATTTGATGTGCATTTAAGGCCACCGCGGGGCCGGCTTAGGGTCTATATTGCTATATCTAAATGGGGAGTGTCATGAGCAAATAAGAGACTCTTAAGTTAAGAGGACTATTTAATATAGGAGTTGTCTGTCATAGACGTTGTCCCAGATTCGCATCTTCTCGGCCTCGGGCAAATCAATCACCTGCACATCGTGCGATATATTCAGGCATTTGAACACCTTGTCGTCGCGCGAAATGGGCAGCCACGCCCCTTGGGCCTGATGCTTCTCGTCGTGCGTGACCATCGGGATGTTGGGATCCCCGCAAATGGCGAACTGCACCACCATTGAGACCAGTCGCCTTATTGTCTTAAACTCGGCCGTGCGGCGCTTTAGCTTCTTCGCCGCCGCATTGTAGAACAAATATGACAAATCGTCGGCATGGCAGGTGCCGCGTACCTTGCGTCCGCAGGTGATAATCCGCATAATGTTAAAGTGCTTCGAGTCGAAGTCGAATCGATAGAGGAACGTGGGTGTTGAAGGTGCGTGATTGGCTCGCGAGAGCAATGTCCTTTGGATGCCGTGCCAGAAATATTTATACGAAAAGAGCTAAAAATTTAAGGAATGTGATTAGAAGGTTCTAGATTGTTTATTTTTTTTGCGAT